CCCCCGCCCGGGCGAGGGGGGGGGGGGGGGGGGGGGGGGGAGAAATGGGCTTCTGCCTCGAGCCCCGTGAGGAGAAGAAGTGGGGGGCGAGGCACGGATCCGCTGGCTGGTTGCGCGTGCGCCTTACTGACCGGGTGGAGGAGGAGGGGGGGGCTTGCTGCTGCAGCTGTGACCGGCCTCACGTAGGGCCGCTGCTTCTGCTGCCGGGCTCTCAGGGGCCGCCTCCAGGGTCCGGTGGGCGGGATGTCGGGCCGTATAAGCCTTCCGAGAGGGGCCTGCTGAGTGTAGTCTGTGACTGGAGCAAGGCGAGGCGGGACGGTGGAGCGGCGGCGGCGCTTTGTCTCGGAGGTGGGTTGCCGGGCTTGTCTCTCCCGCGTTTGGTTTATTGGGTTCATTGTCGATGGCGAGAGGCTTCAATTGACTCGGTTTCTTTGGGAGTGTTTCTTCCAGCGCCGTACAACGGAGGTCGCTTCCCGGTGCAAAGTGGAAAGGGGAGGGGGGCGGCGGCGGCGGCGGCGGGCTTTCCGTCGTTTACTTTCCCAGGCGGTGTGGAAATTGCTGCCGTTTGCTTCGCCGACGCCTCGAGAAACTTCCTCCTTGGAACCGTCCGCAAAGTATGTCAGGCTTTGAATGCCAAAAAGAAACAGGCGTCCAGCGGGGCTTTAAAGATTCGGCGCAGTTTTTTTTAATCCCAGCCAAAGCCTTCGCGGAGTGGAGCCCAGCCGCTTGGATCTGAAGAAAGGGGCTCTACTCCGCGGAAGCTTCCAGACCAGCGGGTGCTGTCTCGCGAACACTTTCCAGAGGGAAGCCGTTCCGTTCTGCTGTAGAATAGCTGGATTCCAGTCCCCTGGCACCTTAGAGACCAACAAGGATTTCCAGGTGGACGCCCCTTCGTCAGACACCGACCTGGGAGTAAGCCCCATTGATTAGACTGAAGTCGGATTCTGAGTAGACCTTATATGAATGGACTGGTAAATTCCATTTTCGTGTCTCTGAGGAAGTGTGCGTGCACACAAAAGCTCATCCCTTGAATAAAACTTCGTCGGCCTTCAAGGTGCCACTAGGCTCAAACTTTGTTCTGCTACATCAGACCAACACGGCTACCCACCCATATCTGAGTAGACCTGTTTAGGATCTCTCTCGCTAAGGCTTCAAGGTAGTACTGGAATGCATACTGCATACAATCCGATTGCATCTGGATTAGAGCTCCAGCTCATGAAAGTGTATGCTGGAGTAAGATGGTGTTAGACTTTAAGATGCTACTGGAGTCCTGTTTACTTTTTGTTAACAGCAGAGGAATAACGCAGTTTACCCTACCGGAGCCTTTACAATCCCCCCCCCCCAATTTAAACCCTTCCTTGGTCACACATGTGGCCCCCTTCCTCTGCCCCACTATGTAGATGCATGACAGATTTTATGCATGGGCCTGTCTCTCCCCCCCCCCCCCCATCTCCCTGCTTCCCTCAGGCACTTTCTTTTGCAGGGAAGCTTGGTAGGAAGAGCTGAGCTAGTGGAGAGAGAGAGAGAGAGAGAGAGAGAGAGAGAGAGAGAGAGAGTGAAGCTGCCTTGAAAGGGGCTTGACAGCCACTCTCTCTCCCTCAGACAGAGCAAACTCTCCTTTCCTGGAAATAGCTGGGCCTGGCAGCTTGTGGAGCTCTGTCTAGTCCAGTCTTGTCAGATGCGTGCAAAGGATTTTCATTCCTACCCTCACGGGAAAAATGAAATTAGGGGTCTTTTATTGGGACCCCCACCCTTCTTCAGCTGTGGAGAACACTTTGGAGATTTTTGTTTCCTGTGTTTTGATTGGGGCTGAGTGTGTGTAGAAGACGGTCAGATTTCTTCAGTCTCCATTTCTTTGAATGTATTTATTGAAAAAAGTTTTTCAGTCTCAGTTTTGATAATGTGCTCATTGTCTTGATAGCAGAATGCACGCGAGGCCTAATATTTTAATTTTTTAAAATGGCTGTCTTGCTTTTACTAGGTAATGGAATCTTACATTCATTCATCTACAACCCAGACGTGTTGCAGCATTAGTTTTCTATTCTTTATTCAGCCGTTTAGAGAAAACTTGGAGTAAATGGATTGAACTGGATTGGTTTGTGGAGAAATTCCTAGCTACTCGTGCTCTGGATTCCCCCCCCCCCCCCGTACTGTAAATTGATCTTGCAAATAAGTAGGAACAAATATGAGAATGGTCAGAAGAGCCAAAGAAAAAGAGGAGGGTTTATGTAGACAGTTAACTGTTTCTGCTTGAGCTGGGAAAGTTGTTGTTCCCCTTATGAGATTTCACTTGGAACAGATTTTGAGATGGAGTGTCCATTACGTGAGTGGGGGAGGGTGAAATACGTGGCAGTAGCATTCTTTCATCAACCTTTTGCTCGCTTGGTTATGGGGGGGGAGCCATTTATGTAGAGTGTTACTTTTCCTTGCTAAGGATGAATAACTTGCACTCTCCAAAGCAGGGCACATGGGTGAAAAAATCTTGAGTTTTCACAAGCATAGTATTCTTTTCTTGCCAGTTTATTTCATAAGAAATGCAGAGCCCTAAGCTATTTAATTCATCTGCTTATGAGAATTTAGTATTACATCACACTTGGACGATATGGAAGTATGCTGAACGTAATTCTGTAGTACCTAATGTCGGTATATGAAATTTGAAAAAACAAGATGAACGTAAGGCTTCTGAAGCGTATGCAGCGTATCTGGCTATGTGAGCACATCACTTATTTGTGGTTTATAAATTTGGTTAATTTCCAGATAGATCAAACTCTTGAGGCATATGTGTCACTTTTTATATAGAAGAGAAGCTAAAGAGTCTGTCTTGGACTATGCAGGGCCCATGCTACTTTGGAAAGTGGTGCCAGCAACAGGGCATAGAGGCCAAGGCCCTGATGTTACCTCCTGGCTCCATGAAACTATCTGATCCCCTTTTAAAGTTGTTTATTCCTGTGGCCATATACAGCCAATCCCACCTTTTAATCACTCTATGTGTAAAGTAGTATTTCCTTTTGTACATCCTGAACCTACTGCCCGTCAGCTTTATTGGATGCCCTCAAGTTCTACTATTTTGAGGGAGGGAGACAAATTTCTCTTTGTCAACTCTCTCCACTCATGCATAATTTTATAACCCTGTATCGTGTCCCCTCTTAGTTGTCTCTTATCTAAACTGAAAAGTCCAGACTCTTCAGCCTCATAGGGCAGGTGCTCCACCCCCCTAATCATCTTGGTTGTCCTCCGCTGCACTTTTTCCTGTCCTTTTGGAGATACGGTGACCAAAACTATTTACAGTATTCCAAGTGAGTCTGCACCATACATCTATATAGGGGCATTACAGTATTGGCCACTTTATTCTCAATCCCTTTCCTAAAAAAACCCCTAACATAGAATTTACCTTTTTCACCACTGCTGCACACTGGGTTGATCCTTTCATTGAGCTATCCACTATGACCCCAAGATCTTTTCCCTCTCAGTCTCAGCAAGTTCAGACCCCATTAGCCTATGCTTGATGGGATTTTTTGTCCCATTATGCATCACCTTATGCTTACCAACATTGAACTTTATTTGCCACATTATTGTCCACTCACACAGTTTGTCAGAAATCATATAGAATTTTGCCAGTTTAAGCGATTACTAAAGTTTTAGTATACTGCAAGGATTTAATTAAGTTAAGAAAGAAGAAAATATCCATCTAAACTTGCTTCTATAAGTGCTGTTGGAATTTTTCTGAACTGAGCAAAATTTGAAACAATATGTTACACTGTAGACATGCTAAAAAGGAACATTAATACTTTGTTGAGGACATTTGTATTTTTAACACCCAATCAGAGGCTTCTTTTTTTTTTCCATCCCCCTGGGGGGGGAGGTTTTTTTTTTTTCCAGACTACAAAACTACAACAGAAAATATAGGAAAGGGAACTACATCTAGGGAATAAAGAAAAAAGACCCACAACTAACTAAAAACCCAAGAGTAGGAGATCATACATCAGCTTATTAATAATGATAATAATGATGATGATGATAATCTTTCAATTTATTGATCGCTCAATCCTTGCAGAGCTGCTGGCTCTGAGCGATTTACAGTTACTCATTTCACAAGGGACTAACAATGCTTTATAGGGGTAAGGGAGGGCAACACATATAATCTTTACATAGCACACATTTTGCAGCCGACGGGGATTTGTTCAGTTGCAACTCAGACGTGATCCGGACGGCATTTTTCCCACTTGGCTTGGCTGGATGATGTCAGCTCTTTCTCTCCAGGACTCTTCGGGTCGCAGCTCCATACTGCCACCGCCTGGCCAGAACGGCCCATTACAGGCTTCTTGATGCCTAAGAGATCTTCTAGGCTATTTTCAAAAAGCTACTAATAATATAATGAATTTAGTCAGTTATGCTAGATTAATTATCGTTTAACCCTCCTTTAAATGTTTAAAGAAATTCCCAGAGCATCCCCAAGTTATTTCCACATTTTTTCAGGCACAAATCAGAGTCCTTCAGCCCTTATTTATTCTTATCTTTTCTAATCCTCAGTTTATAAGGGCTTTTGGGGGCAGCCACCCCTTTTCAGAGGGAGAGTCCTCATCCGAAGACCCCGAGCCCAACTTGCCATCAGATTTGCTTTCTTTTTCCTCCTTTTTGCCCTCTTCTGGTTCCCCAAGCTGTGTCCGCAGAAATTCACGTGCTTTAAAAACAGAGTCAATCTTTTCTTTTTTATTGTTAATCTTAAAAATGACGCCTTCTGGGGTTAACCACCTGTAACTGATGCCATTTGTTTGTAAGAAAAGGGTTAATTCTTTATAGTTGTTTTTCTTCTGTCTTATATCAAATGGGATATCTTTTAAAATCCTGACATTATTGCCCCCAATTTTCAAGGGTGTTCCCGAATTTGCTTTCAAAGTAGCATCTCTCACATGTCTCTTTGAGAATCTGACCACTATTTCCCCAGGCAGATTATTTTTCTTGATGTACGATGAATAGAACCTGTAGACCACATCCATCTCGCTGCAAAGGTATTTCGCTGTTAAATCTGTCATTGGGGCTATTACTTCACTCAGCCGTTGCTTCAGATTCTCTCCTTCAATTTCCGGGACTCCTTGAAACCATAGGACCAAATTTGCTTTATCCATTTGTAGCTGTAAAAGCTTTGACTCTTCTGTAGCTTGCTTCATTTCCAGCTTTTGCACCTTTTTCTTAACTTTTTTAGTAGTGATGTCTATTTCCTTCACCTTCTCTCCCATTTGCTCTGTTGCTTTTAAGGATTGAGTCAGTTCCATCTGCTGTGCTGCCACACTCTGCCCAATTACTGACAGTTGTTGTTTAATGCCAGTGATCTCGTCCAGCAGGGGGTG